GAGACGACCAAATCCTAACTGGCCAGATTTAAAAGGAAAATAAATACATCTCTGGTTGGAAGGATGGGTCGATCAAAGGGTGGTAGACTAAAAGCTTTAAAAATGTGTACATCGATTTCAAGACGTAGTAGTAGTACATCGATTTCAAGACGTGTTGATTTAACTTCAAGTAAACAAATATCAATGTGTGGTAGAGACTGGGTGTAGCTACAGAAGTGCTACAGAGTAGCAGGATGTGGTTTAGGGTAGCAAGAAATGGGTGTTGGTGCAATAGAGAAGTGCAGACAAGAAGTGTTGTAACAAAGATGCTACAAAAGTAGAATAAAGATGTGCAACTGGAAGAAATTAGAAGTGCTATGGGTGTGACAGAAGTGCTATGGGTGTGACAGACGTGCTATGACTGTGACAGTAGTGCTATGGGTGTGACAGAAGTGCTATGGGTGTGACAGACGTGCTATGACTGTGACAGTAGTGCTATGGGTGTGACAGAAGTGCTATGGGTGTGACAGAAGTGCTATGGGCGTGACAGAAGTGCTATGGGTGTGACAGACGTGCTATGACTGTGACAGTAGTGCTATGGGTGTGACAGAAGTGCTATGGGTGTGACAGACGTGCTATGACTGTGACAGTAGTACTATGGGTGTGACAGAAGTGCTATGGGTGTGACAGACGTGCTATGACTGTGACAGTAGTGCTATGGGTGTGACAGAAGTACTATGGGTGTGACAGAAGTGCTATGGGTGTGACAGAAGTGCTATGGGTGTGACAGAAGTGCTATTGGCGTGACAGAAGTGCTATGGGTGTGACAGAAGTGCTATGGGTGTGACAGAAGTGCTATGGGTGTGACAGACGTGCTATGGGTGTGACAGAAGTGCTATGGGTGTGACAGAAGTGCTATGGGTGTGACAGAAGTGCTATGGGCGTGACAGAAGTGCTATGGGTGTGACAGACGTGCTATGACTGTGACAGTAGTGCTATGGGTGTGACAGAAGTGCTATGGGTGTGACAGACGTGCTATGACTGTGACAGTAGTGCTATGGGTGTGACAGAAGTACTATGGGTGTGACAGAAGTGCTATGGGTGTGACAGAAGTGCTATGGGTGTGACAGAAGTGCTATGGGCGTGACAGAAGTGCTATGGGTGTGACAGAAGTGCTATGGGTGTGACAGAAGTGCTATGGGTGTGACAGACGTGCTATGGGTGTGACAGAAGTGCTATGGGTGTGACAGAAGTGCTATGGGTGTGACAGAAGTGCTATGGGCGTGACAGAAGTGCTATGGGCGTGACAGACGTGCTATGACTGTGACAGTAGTGCTATGGGTGTGACAGAAGTGCTATGGGTGTGACAGAAGTGCTATGACTGTGACAGTAGTGCTATGGGTGTGACAGAAGTACTATGGGTGTGACAGAAGTGCTATGGGTGTGACAGAAGTGCTATGGGTGTGACAGAAGTGCTATGGGTGTGACAGAAGTGCTATGGGCGTGACAGAAGTGCTATGGGTGTGACAGAAGTGCTATGGGTGTGACAGAAGTGCTATGGGTGTGACAGAAGTGCTATGGGTGTGACAGAAGTGCCATGGGCGTGAGAGAAGTGCTATGGGTGTGACAGGAGTGCTATGGGTGTGACAAAAGTGCTGTACAGTACGCACGGATTTATGTAGTATAAATATAACTGCTAGTGAATAGCTTATGCAGATAAAATCGTCTGAGAAAACGACACTATATAATGATATAATACACATTATTCTAGCTTCGAAAGAATATGAGTCAGACAGCGGCTACACTGTATTTGAGTCAGACAGTCGCTACGTTTATTGGAGTCAGACATCGACCAAACCGTAGATTTTTACAGCAATCGGGACGAAGATAAGACAACCATCGTATTATCTATTTACAATACTTCGCACACCTCTCAAACTTGACGTGTTACAACAGAACTTAAACGCACCACAGCAGAGCACCACAAATACAGTGGGTACACACAGACCTACAATGGGACGTGTGTACAGCTACAACGTGAGGCTAATAAGATAAACCACGAATAAAAAAACTGCTCACGGCTCACACAAATTCCGCACATCAAAAGTTGCCCGCGGCTAAATATTTTACAATTACAAGCACGCATGCACGAGAGTTATCATAATAACAACTATAATGAACAAATGATCAACTTGGATATGTCTAAACAAAGAACAGGCTGGGTTCAAAGGGTACAGTGACGTGGATGTAGAATTGGGGTTTAATTATAAGCCCGGACCTTTACCCGGCTACAGGATTCGGAATGGGCTCATTAAGGATTAATGAGTTACATCAAATGGGGCGTTGTGATGGGGAGCCATGGGATGGTTTAGAACAGAAGGATTACACCAGGCTGTTGTCGTGGGTGGGCTGATTGTGATGATGTGGGATGCGAATATAATAATGTGACCTACACTTCATGGGTGGAAGATTCGTTTTTTTTACAAATTAAATAAATATTTATGTTACTGAATCCAGTGAAGGTGAGCAGTTGATTAAAGTGAACTTTTGGAGGCCTACGCATTGTGTGCTTAAATATTTTAAAGGTTTTGTATTTAAACTATTGTTTAAAGAATAATTAACATATATTTATTTGAGCATAAAGGATAGATACAAGTCCGTACAAGATTTAAATACACTTAATCAAATATGTATTATGCAATATCGTTTATTAACATTTAATAAATTGCAATTTGAAAGTATATTCAACAACTTTTGGGAATACAGTTAGAAATTCTCTCTCCTGAATAAAATAAAATGTAGAAACGGAAAAAACACATAATGGAAATTAATGCGTTTTATTTTCCTACAAATATATAATAAACATTGCATTTTGTGTAGAATTCGTAAATAATTAATACTATATATATATATATATATATATATATATATATATATATATATATATATATATGCATATACAAAAAATAATTGAGATATTTAGTCTGGAATATTTTGAATGAGATCCTTTGTCATAGAACGCTGGAGAAGGTTAACAGTTCCGAAATTAAAACAGAGCTCAATTTCTCTGAACAATGGATTGTGATAGTTAGAGACTCATTGCAGGGTACATAATCAAGAGAAATGTTAAAACGCTAGCAATAAAAATATTATTTGAGTAGCTTCCCCTGTCATGCATTTTCTTTTGCCGATAATCGTGATACAGAGTATAGAGGAAGTATTGTAATCGTGCAAAAAAAGCACTTGAAATTTTGAGTTTTTATCGTTTTACACCTCAGTACTTTATCATAATAAGGGACTTATTTTAATCGGGCAAACATTATAACTGCAGATTTATAAAAATTTCGGAGTTTTATGCGTAATCGATTTCGAAAAACAGGGCTATACAGCTAGGATGATGAAATTTCATAAACAAGTAAATAAGCGATTTCCGATAACCGGAAGTGGGACTTCTACTTTTAATATTTCAAAGGCCTATAACTTAAGTACTGTTTCAGATAGATAAACAGTTTCACATATACGTAAAAGATCTAATTTTCTGCCTTTTGTAAAATTTTGAGTATTTTCCGTTGACCGGAAGTTGTAATTTACGGTATTTCAGATTTCTCAAAAAACGAAAATGAATTTATAAAATACTAATAATATTCCGCACTATTATACACTTATTGATTGCCATTCACTTGGTGCGCCATTCTGTTTTCTACGAGATTTTTTAAGTTTAAGTAATTAAAAATGGCTTAAATATCAGGTCTATATCCCGTGTTGCCATCCCCCGTAGTGTTACATAAGAATATTCGAGAAAGTTTAGGGGATATACCTCCCGGTTTATTTAACATAAATACATTTTTGACTTATACACTGGAGCAAACAATAAAACCGCTTTAAAAGACAGTGCGTTGTTATTAACCCAGCTACACGACAACATAGGCTACGGTGTAAAAGCGTGGTCAAGGATATGCGGAGGGCGTGGTCAAGGATATGCGGAGGGCGTGGTTTGTTGCGTGTTCAAGGCGTGGAGGTCATCGTTGGAGGCTTGGTTAGGGCGGCAAAGATACCGTAGTTGTTCCAGTCTTATTTATTTAAGTATTATCTTAATTCGTTTCGACTGTTATTGGAAAGGATATTTTGAGGGGAATATTTCATGTAGTTGGGTGGGCATGTTGAATGTACTTGAGGTGGGTTTGTATGTAACTAGATTTTAAACTATATTTAGACGGGGTTATATTTCACGTGCAACATGCAGTAAAGTGAAGGATGTATCCCTGCCAAGGTAATGTAGGAAATAGCCATAAAATAATGCACAAATAAAACAAAAAAAAAAACAACGCATTTACATGGCCTCTCAAGGGCTGGATTCTGACTAGGAAAAAAAAATGGCACATTTGCCTAAAAGATACAGAATTCTATGTACGTATTACATGAGGATGAAAGGAAGGGGGTAAAAAGGGAACGTCGGAGCGTTTAAAATGCACGCTGGCATTTAACGGAATTGATAGATAAAAAGGAGAAAGGGGAGGGCCAGGGTCGAGTGTATGCAGCGTCAGGCTCATCTTGAGTCCCTAGACGGGAGGAACAGGGCCACAAATGGGGCCAGTCAAATCGATGGCTGAGCCTTGACACTTGGAGTGTCGCGGTCAATCACTCCTTACATAACGCTGGGGGGATGCGGAAATGGGTGGAGGGGGTGGAAAGGTGAAGTAAATTCTGGTAATTTAACGTGTTGAGGTCGGCTGATTTTGAAAACACTCCGCGAGAGAACGGCAGAAGGGTTAACATGGAATGACATTTTGTATTTTAATCATTTAAACTAGTTGCTTCTTAATTTAAAACGTTTTGGTGTGATAACAAAGAAAGACTGAACAAGACAGATAATACAACAAGGAAACCAGCAGCAAGGGAAACAACTCACATATTAATGAATTTCACAAAGGGATACAACTCACATACTAAGGGAAGCAACTCATACTCCCAAGGGATACAACTTTCACAAAGGGAAACAACAGTGAAATACAAAAGCTTACCACCATGTCTGTCTTTTCCTGGCTGTTTCTCCCGTCTTCAGTCTCCTCCTCCTCTTCTTCTCTTTTCTCAAAGGCCTCCTCTTTATCTTCGTCCTCTCCTTCTTCTTCGGCCTCTTCCCCTTTTCTGTCTTCCTCCCCCGTAGTCGAGGCAGAGTGGGGCCGTGACTGCTGGGAAAAATAAAGACAATTTATACAGTGGTCGAGGGAGAGTGGGGGGGGGGGGGGGGGGTGACTAATGGGAAAAATAAAGACAATTTATACAGTGGTCGAGGCAGAGTGGGGACTGCTGGGAAAAATAAAGACAATTTATACAGTGGTCGAGGGAGAGTGGGGGGGGGGGGGGGGGTGACTAATGGGAAAAATAAAGACAATTTATACAGTGGTCGAGGCAGAGTGGGGACTGCTGGGAAAAATAAAGACAATTTATACAGTGGTCGAGGCAGAGTGGGGACTGCTGGGAAAAATAAAGACAATTTATACAGTAGTCGGGGCCGTGACTGCTGGGAAAAATAAAGACAATTTATACAGTGGTCGAGGCAGAGTGGGGACTGTTGGGAAAAATAAAGACAATTTATACAGTGGTCGAGGCAGAGTGGGGACTGCTGGGAAAAATAAAGACAATTTATACAGTGGTTGAGGGAGAGTGGGGACTGCTGGGAAAAATAAAGACAATTTATACAGTGGTCGAGGCAGAGTGGGGACTGCTGGGAAAAATAAAGACAATTTATACAGTGGTCGAGGCAGAGTGGGGACTGCTGGGAAAAATAAAGACAATTTATACAGTAGTCGGGGCCGTGACTGCTGGGAAAAATAAAGACAATTTATACAGTGGTCGAGGGAGAGTGGGGACTGCTGGGAAAAATAAAGACAATTTATACAGTGGTCGAGGGAGAGTGGGGACTGCTGGGAAAAATAAAGACAATTTATACAGTGGTCGAGGCAGAGTGGGGACTGCTGGGAAAAATAAAGACAATTTATACAGTGGTCGAGGCAGAGTGGGGCCGTGACTGTTGGGAAAAATAAAGACAATTTATACAGTGGTCGAGGCAGAGTGGGGACTGCTGGGAAAAATAAAGACAATTTATACAGTGGTCGGGGCCGTGACTGCTGGGAAAAATAAAGACAATTTATACAGTGGTCGAGGCAGAGTGGGGACTGCTGGGAAAAATAAAGACAATTTATACAGTGGTCGGGGCCGTGACTGCTGGGAAAAAAAAAGACAATTTATACAGTAGTCGAGGCAGAGTGGGGACTGCTGGGAAAAATAAAGACAATTTATACAGTAGTCGGGGCCGTGACTGCTGGGAAAAATAAAGACAATTTATACAGTGGTCGAGGCAGAGTGGGGACTGCTGGGAAAAATAAAGACAATTTATACAGTGGTCGAGGGAGAGTGGGGACTGCTGGGAAAAATAAAGACAATTTATACAGTGGTCGAGGCAGAGTGGGGACTGCTGGGAAAAATAAAGACAATTTATACAGTAGTCGAGGCAGAGTGGGGACTGCTGGGAAAAATAAAGACAATTTATACAGTGGTCGGGGCCGTGACTGCTGGGAAAAATAAAGACATTTTATACAGTGGTCGAGGCAGAGTGGGGACTGCTGGGAAAAATAAAGATAATTTATACAGTGGTCGAGGCAGAGTGGGGACTGCTGGGAAAAATAAAGACAATTTATACAGTGGTCGAGGCAGAGTGGGGACTGCTGGGAAAAATAAAGACAATTTATACAGTAGTCGAGGCAGAGTGGGGCCGTGACTGCTGGGAAAAATAAAGACAATTTATACAGTAGTCGGGGCCGTGACTGCTGGGAAAAATAAAGACAATTTATACAGTGGTCGAGGCAGAGTGGGGACTGCTGGGAAAAATAAAGACAATTTATACAGTGGTCGGGGCCGTGACTGCTGGGAAAAAAAAAGACAATTTATACAGTAGTCGAGGCAGAGTGGGGACTGCTGGGAAAAATAAAGACAATTTATACAGTAGTCGGGGCCGTGACTGCTGGGAAAAATAAAGACAATTTATACAGTGGTCGAGGCAGAGTGGGGACTGCTGGGAAAAATAAAGACAATTTATACAGTGGTCGAGGGAGAGTGGGGACTGCTGGGAAAAATAAAGACAATTTATACAGTGGTCGAGGCAGAGTGGGGACTGCTGGGAAAAATAAAGACAATTTATACAGTAGTCGAGGCAGAGTGGGGACTGCTGGGAAAAATAAAGACAATTTATACAGTGGTCGGGGCCGTGACTGCTGGGAAAAATAAAGACATTTTATACAGTGGTCGAGGCAGAGTGGGGACTGCTGGGAAAAATAAAGATAATTTATACAGTGGTCGAGGCAGAGTGGGGACTGCTGGGAAAAATAAAGACAATTTATACAGTGGTCGAGGCAGAGTGGGGACTGCTGGGAAAAATAAAGACAATTTATACAGTAGTCGAGGCAGAGTGGGGCCGTGACTGCTGGGAAAAATAAAGACAATTTATACAGTAGTCGGGGCCGTGACTGCTGGGAAAAATAAAGACAATTTATACAGTGGTCGAGGCAGAGTGGGGACTGCTGGGAAAAATAAAGACAATTTATACAGTGGTCGAGGCAGAGTGGGGACTGCTGGGAAAAATAAAGACAATTTATACAGTAGTCGAGGCAGAGTGGGGACTGCTGGGAAAAATAAAGACAATTTATACAGTGGTCGAGGCAGAGTGGGGACTGCTGGGAAAAATAAAGACAATTTATACAGTGGTCGAGGCAGAGTGGGGACTGCTGGGAAAAATAAAGACAATTTATACAGTGGTCGAGGCAGAGTGGGGACTGCTGGGAAAAATAAAGACAATTTATACAGTAGTCGAGACAGAGTGGGGACTGCTGGGAAAAATAAAGACAATTTATACAGTAGTCGGGGCCGTGACTGCTGGGAAAAATAAAGACAATTTATACAGTGGTCGAGGCAGAGTGGGGACTGCTGGGAAAAATAAAGACAATTTATACAGTGGTCGGGGTCGTGACTGCTGGGAAAAATAAAGACAATTTATACAGTAGTCGAGGCAGAGTGGGGACTGCTGGGAAAAATAAAGACAATTTATACAGTGGTCGAGGGAGAGTGGGGACTGCTGGGAAAAATAAAGACAATTTATACAGTGGTTGAGGGAGAGTGGGGACTGCTGGGAAAAATAAAGACAATTTATACAGTGGTCGAGGCAGAGTGGGGACTGCTGGGAAAAATAAAGACAATTTATACAGTGGTCGAGGCAGAGTGGGGACTGCTGGGAAAAATAAAGACAATTTATACAGTAGTCGGGGCCGTGACTGCTGGGAAAAATAAAGACAATTTATACAGTGGTCGAGGCAGAGTGGGGACTGCTGGGAAAAATAAAGACAATTTATACAGTGGTCGAGGCAGAGTGGGGACTGCTGGGAAAAATAAAGACAATTTATACAGTGGTCGAGGCAGAGTGGGGACTGCTGGGAAAAATAAAGACAATTTATACAGTAGTCGGGGCCGTGACTGCTGGGAAAAATAAAGACAATTTATACAGTGGTCGAGGCAGAGTGGGGACTGCTGGGAAAAATAAAGACAATTTATACAGTGGTCGAGGCAGAGTGGGGACTGCTGGGAAAAATAAAGACAATTTATACAGTAGTCGAGGCAGAGTGGGGACTGCTGGGAAAAATAAAGACAATTTATACAGTGGTCGGGGCCGTGACTGTTGGGAAAAATAAAGACAATTTATACAGTAGTCGAGGCAGAGTGGGGACTGCTGGGAAAAATAAAGACAATTTATACAGTAGTCGGGGCCGTGACTGCTGGGAAAAATAAAGACAATTTATACAGTGGTCGAGGCAGAGTGGGGACTGCTGGGAAAAATAAAGACAATTTATACAGTGGTCGAGGCAGAGTGGGGACTGCTGGGAAAAATAAAGACAATTTATACAGTAGTCGAGGCAGAGTGGGGACTGCTGGGAAAAAATAAAGACAATTTATACAGTGGTCGAGGGAGAGTGGGGACTGCTGGGAAAAATAAAGACAATTTATACAGTGGTCGAGGCAGAGTGGGGACTGCTGGGAAAAATAAAGAAAATTTATACAGTGGTCGAGGCAGAGTGGGGACTGCTGGGAAAAATAAAGACAATTTATACAGTAGTCGGGGCCGTGACTGCTGGGAAAAATAAAGACAATTTATACAGTAGTCGAGGCAGAGTGGGGACTGCTGGGAAAAATAAAGACAATTTATACAGTGGTCGAGGGAGAGTGGGGACTGCTGGGAAAAATAAAGACAATTTATACAGTGGTTGAGGGAGAGTGGGGACTGCTGGGAAAAATAAAGACAATTTATACAGTGGTCGAGGGAGAGTGGGAACTGCTGGGAAAAATAAAGACAATTTATACAGTAGTCGGGGCCGTGACTGCTGGGAAAAATAAAGACAATTTATACAGTGGTCGAGGCAGAGTGGGGACTGCTGGGAAAAATAAAGACAATTTATACAGTAGTCGAGGCAGAGTGGGGACTGCTGGGAAAAATAAAGACAATTTATACAGTGGTCGAGGCAGAGTGGGGACTGCTGGGAAAAATAAAGACAATTTATACAGTAGTCGGGGCCGTGACTGCTGGGAAAAATAAAGACAATTTATACAGTGGTCGAGGCAGAGTGGGGACTGCTGGGAAAAATAAAGACAATTTATACAGTGGTCGAGGCAGAGTGGGGACTGCTGGGAAAAATAAAGACAATTTATACAGTAGTCGAGGCAGAGTGGGGACTGCTGGGAAAAATAAAGACAATTTATACAGTGGTCGGGGCCGTGACTGTTGGGAAAAATAAAGACAATTTATACAGTAGTCGAGGCAGAGTGGGGACTGCTGGGAAAAATAAAGACAATTTATACAGTGGTCGAGGCAGAGTGGGGACTGCTGGGAAAAATAAAGACAATTTATACAGTAGTCGAGGCAGAGTGGGGACTGCTGGGAAAAATAAAGACAATTTATACAGTGGTCGAGGCAGAGTGGGGACTGCTGGGAAAAATAAAGACAATTTATACAGTGGTCGAGGCAGAGTGGGGACTGCTGGGAAAAATAAAGACAATTTATACAGTGGTCGGGGCCGTGACTGCTGGGAAAAATAAAGACAATTTATACAGTAGTCGAGGCAGAGTGGGGACTGCTGGGAAAAATAAAGACAATTTATACAGTAGTCGGGGCCGTGACTGCTGGGAAAAATAAAGACAATTTATACAGTGGTCGAGGCAGAGTGGGGACTGCTGGGAAAAAAAACATTTCGTATACAATTGATCGTGATGGCCTACAGTTAAACAAAAACAACTATTTAGACAAAATTAGTGTACAGTTTTACAAAGGTACACGCAATGCATTTGTCTAAAAGGTATTTTAATATTCTGCTACAATTTACAAACTGAACAACTTTAATAGGGCAGCTGTTGGAAAGAGAAATTTTATAACTATACATCAACATTTTTTCTGGCTAGTGAATACATTTAAATACAGTCGAGGCATGTTAAAAATTTACAAATAAATATATATATACAGACAGCTGCGACCAGTTTCAGATTTAGTATTATTTATTTAACAGGATTTATCTGTAAAGACAGTAGGTGCCAGTTTGTAAGTTAGATTTTCCTAAAGACAGTTGATGTCAGTTAATATCTTTCTATAGACTATCAGACAAGTGCGAACAGCGGGGCAGTGGTCGGGCAGTGTTCGTGCAGTGGTCGGGCAGCTACTAACCTGGAGGGGAAGCTCAGCTCGTGGGGTGGCCGGTGGACCCCGGGCCACCACAATCTCGGTCGTACCCTTGGCACTCTGTAGTATACTGATGGCCTCCTTTTGGGACACCTCTAGGGGCTGGCCATTGATGGCCAACAGTTGATCTTCCTCTCGTAGACGGCCATCTCTGGGAAGAAAATTTTAAATCATTAGCCATCACGGTCGGTAAATGTTTATGTTTAACATCACATTAAAAATCAGCAGCTATCAAAGTCAGTAAATGTTTATGCTTAACATCACAGTATACCTAAGTGCCCAACAATGCTATAATGATGATAATGCCATCAACAAAATGAAAACATAACAGTGAATTTATTCTGTGAAACAAGAGTGTGAACAGTAGCTTGTATTCAACTATATGTTTAACAAACCCCACTTCTTTGTTTAAAGCCTATATGAGAGATAATCGTAAACTGCTTTAAACGAATATGTAGCTTGGCTCATTAACAGGGATTACCTGACAGAATAGAGGGGGATTAAACAACTCTGAGAAGATTAACGCCGCACATAGGACTTCATTTGATCGTGCAGGGTGAGCTAAACTAGAACTATTGAACGCTAGGTCTTTATACGGGGGAGGGGTATCTGGAATGTATACATACAATATAAATACATTTTGTCTATAGATCATAACTCTGGAAGATAGGAGACACACAGGTTCCTCTCTCACACGCTCTCACTCACACACACGCTCTTTACACAAGATCTATCACACAGGCTATCAAACACAAAATCATACAATATAAAAGGCATACTAATAAGATAATGACAAACCAAACATCTGCAGAAAATTCCGGCCTGTCCACCCAATGACCCACTAAACCCCTGCCTGTCCACCAACTAAATCCCTGCCTGTACACCCAATGACCCACTAAATCCCTGCCTGTCCACACAATGACCCACTAAATCCCTGCCTGTCCACCCAATGACCCACTAAATCCCTGCCTGTCCACCAAATGACCCACTAAATCCCGGCCTGTCCACCCAATGACCCACTAAATCCCTGCCTGTCCACACATGACCCACTAAATCCCTGCCTGTCCACCCAACGACCCACTAAATCCCGGCCTGTCCACCCAATGACCCACTAAATCCCTGCCTGTCCACCCAATGACCCACTAAATCCCTGCCTGTCCACACAATGACCCACTAAATCCCTGCCTGTCCACCCAACGACCCACTAAATCCCTGCCTGTCCACCCAACGACCCACTAAATCCCTGCCTGTCCACCCAATGACCCACTAAATCCCTGCCTGTCCACCCAATGACCCACTAAATCCCTGCCTGTCCACCCAACGACCCACTAAATCCCTGCCTGTCCACCCAATGACCCACTAAATCCCTGCTTGTCCACCCAATGACCCACTAAATCCCTGCCTGTCCACCCAATGACCCACTAAATCCCTGCTTGTCCACCCAATGACCCACTAAATCCCTGCCTGTCCACCCAATGACCCACTAAATCCCTGCCTGTCCACCCAATGACCCACTAAATCCCTGCCTGTCCACCCAATGACCCACTAAATCCCTGCCTGGCCACCTAATGACCCCTTAAATGCCGGCCGGTCCACTCACTAAATCCCTGCCTGTCCACCCAATGACCCACTAAATCCCTGCCTGTCCATCCAATGACCCACTAAATGCCGGCCTGTCCACCCAATGACCCCCTAAATGCCGGCCTGTCCACTCACTAAATCCCTGCCTGTCCACCCTATGACCCACTAAATCCCTGCCTGTCCACCCTATGACCCATTAAATCCCTGCCTGTCCACCCAATGACCCACTAAATCCCTGCCTGTCCACCCAATGACCCACTAAATCCCTGCCTGTCCACCCAATGACCCACTAAATCCCTGCCTGTCCACCCAATGACCCACTAAATCCCTGCCTGTCCACCCAATGACCCACTAAATCCCTGCCTGTCCACCCAATGACCAACTAAATCCCTGCCTGTCCACCCAATGACCCACTAAATCCCTGCCTGTCCACCCAATGACCCACTAAATCCCTGCCTGTCCACCCAATGACCCACTAAATCCCGGCCTGTCCACCCAATGACCCACTAAATCCCTGCCTGTCCACCCAATGACCCACTAAATCCCTGCCTGTCCACCCAATGACCCACTAAATCCCTGCCTGTCCACCCAATGACCCACTAAATCCCTGCCTGTCCACCCAATGACCCACTAAATCCCTGCCTGTCCACCCAATGACCCACTAAATCCCTGCCTGTCCACCCAATGACCCACTAAATCCCGGCCTGTCCACCCAATGACCCACTAAAACCCTGCCTGTCCACCCAATGACCCACTAAATCCCTGCCTGTCCACCCAATGACCCACTAAATCCCTGCCTGTCCACCCAATGACCCACTAAACCCCTGCCTGTCCACCCAATGACCCACTAAACCCCTGCCTGTCCACCCAATGACCCACTAAATCCCTGCCTGTCCACCCAATGACCCACTAAATCCCTGCCTGTCCACCCAATGACCCACTAAATCCCTGCCTGTCCACCCAATGACCCACTAAACCCCTGCCTGTCCACCCAATGACCCACTAAACCCCTGCCTGTCCACCCAATGACCCACTAAATCCCTGCCTGTCCACCCAATGACCCACTAAATCCCTGCCTGTCCACCCAATGACCCACTAAATCCCTGCCTGTCCACCCAATGACCCACTAAATCCCTGCCTGTCCACCCAATGACCCACTAAAACCCTGCCTGTCCACCCAATGACCCACTAAATCCCTGCCTGTCCACCCAATGACCCACCCAATGACCCACTAAATCCCTGCCTGTCCACCCAATGACCCACTAAATCCCTGCCTGTCCACCCAATGACCCACTAAATCCCTGCCTGTCCACCCTATGACCCACTAAATCCCGGCCTGTCCACCCTATGACCCACTAAATCCCGGCCTGTCCACCCAATGACCCACTAAATCCCTGCCTGTCCATCCAATGACCCACTAAATCCCTGCTTGTCCACCCAATGACCCACTAAATCCCTGCCTGTCCACCCAATGACCCACTAAATCCCTGCCTGTCCACCCAATGACCCACTAAACCCCTGCCCGTCCACCCAACGACCCACTAAATCCCTGCCTGTCCACCCAATGACCCACTAAATCCCTGCCTGTCCACCCTATGACCCACTAAATCCCGGCCTGTCCACCCAATGACCCACTAAATCCCTGCCTGTCCACCCAATGACCCACTAAATCCCTGCTTGTCCACCCAATGACCCACTAAATCCCTGCCTGTCCACCCAATGACCCACTAAATCCCTGCCTGTCCACCCAATGACCCACCCAATGACCCACTAAATCCCTGCCTGTCCACCCAATGACCCACTAAATCCCTGCCTGTCCACCCGATGACCCACTAAATCCCTGCCTGTCCACCCAATGACCTACTTAACCCCTGCCTGTCCACCCAATGACCCACTAAACCTGTGCAGAAAATCTCTGCCAACATCCACCCAACGACAGACTGATCAAACACATACTTCGATCTAGCCCAGTGTCAACACAAGCCCTATCTCGTCCCCCATTCTAGCCTGTAATAGCCCTCTTATTTAAACCTTTCAGCGACCCACGTCCCTCACCCGCCCCTGTATGTGGACAGTCACTGGGAAGTTCTATTGGTTACATAAGTCTTGCCAACAGGCCTTAGATTCATCTGCTGGGAATTTGTAGTGAACATGGCGTCTGATGGTATTTTACAGACAACAGAGTATATATTTCATACATATATTTCATATATATATATATATATATATATATATATATATATATATATATATATATATATATATATATATATATATATATATATATATATATATATATATATATATATATATATATATATATATATATATATATATATATATATATATATATATATATATATATATATACATATATATATCAGACATCAGCAGATATAGTAAAATACACGAGACACAGAGGCGATATTTGATACAGAACCATCGAGTTGGAAAATAAGACCAGCAAAATAAGACCACCGAACAAGCAAAGTAAGACTACAGACAACTTAAGTACACTTTCAAAGCTGTAGGTACATTGAAGCGGGTGAATAAGAGTTCATCTGTTTCTTTGACCTCAGCATATGAAGGGATAGTGTCGTCAGTACTATGCCCAGTCGCCTTTACTTTCCCTAGCGTGCGTCAGGTACCCATCAGAGCTTGTTGCACTTAGATGCGGTGTACTGACACGAACCCGGGATTCAAACTCGAGACTTTCGGGTTAGCAGTACAACGACGTCTCACCACAGCGAGAGCTATAACATTGTGTTAAAAAAAACGTTGTGTTTTAAAAATAAATGTGTATAAAGGGGTAAAAGCACGTTGCTGTGCTAACGCCGCAAAAATAAAATAAAAAACAGCACCAGGTTTTTATAACACAGAAAGACAGTTTAAAGATTTAAGGATATAATTCAAACATGGCAATTATCATTTTTTATATTTCTTTTTGTAAGATAATCCTCCAAAGATAATCAATAGCCCTTACATAGGGGCGACCATCTTCTCCAAGCCCCATGTCTTACGCCTCAGTGATCTACATAAATACATGAGCAATCAATACAGCTGCCAATTTGTATGTCTTGTTATCAATCGTGTTTTCAATTTCAGCTCGTCTTCGGTGCTCAATCAATTTCGGCAGGGGTAGATGGGTGTGGTACGGGAGAGGTGATACAGGTGGTGATGGGGGAGGTGGTGAGACAGGTAGGTGATGGGGGAGGTGGTGAGACAGGTAGGTGATGGGGGAGGTGGTGAGACAGGTGGGTGATGGGGGAGGTGGTAATACAGGTAGGTGATGGGGGAGGTGGTAATACAGGTAGGTGATGGGGGGGGGAGGTGGTGATACAGGTAGGTGATGGGGGAGGTGGTGAGACAGGTAGGTGATGGGGGGGGGGAGGTGGTGAGACAGGTGGGTGATGGGGGAGGTGGTAATACAGGTAGGTGATGGGGGAGGTGGTGAGACAGGTGGGTGATGGGGGAGGTGGTGAGACAGGTAGGTGATGGGGGAGGTGGTGAGACAGGTGGGTGATGGGGGAGGTGGTGAGACAGGTAGGTGATGGGGGAGGTGGTGAGACA